TGACACAAACTACAGTATACTGATTGTGAGTTTTGTTGAATCAAACAATGTCAAACTTCTGATCTTATTTGGAAACCGTGATCTGAAAGCTTTTATGTTTCCCCCCAATGAAAAGGGGCACTATGAGTATATTAAAAAATACTACCCTCAATAGATAGCTAGGTCTTGCTTGTGTTAGTACTAGCCACATTGGTGTTTGAGAAAAGAAGAAATTTTCAAAATTAGAACCAGATATTGGCCATCAAAAATGCGTAAGGCCTTCTCAGATCTTCTATGACTTGATGATGGCCAAAGACAAATGGACTCACTTGCATGAAGTGGCAACACCATGCCAAGCAATCACCCATTAGACATCTACCTGCACTACCAAAATATGCTGGAACAAGTTGTGGAAGGACCCTGGGATGGTGAATTAGGTAAGTGGAAGCATTTCTTCAAACATGTAGAATTTCAAAACCCACATGCATGGCTTTACATACAGGAATTCCTGACCCCATCATGGAAAAAATGTTGCATGATTTGATCATGTTGTAAAGGGTTCCCTCAGCTACAATCAGATCCAAAACCCCAGGTCTGAAATTGAAAATTATTCAACACCATCAAAGATAAAAAAGGTAGGGTGATTGTCCAGTGAATGCCACTCATTCTTTATGTTTTGCTAGATACATATTGAGCCCTTTTTCTTTCAACACCTTGTGATAAAGGTTGCAGCAAAATCAGAGCAAGACTTGCTAGGATATTTTACCACATATTGAGAAAGATTCCCCCAAGATACAACAAAGCAATAAATTCACTTAAAAATAGCTACTTAAAAAAAAGAACACCATTTCAGAAGCATGTGCAACAATCTTAAGGTTGCTTTTACCTGAGCTTAAGAATCAAGATCTATGTTTCATCATTGAAAAATCATCCTTTTCTTTTTGGTATTGGTATGTTGACATTAATGTGGTTCACATAAACCAATCCTTTCTTTTTTAGAATTTGCTTTCAATAACAGAATTACTAACTATGTTAAAAAAAATATATATTTAGAATAATTTATAAGAATCTAATTTTATTTCTATTAAATAATCTTTACCATTATTTTCTGAATCATTATTAAAGCATCATTGTTTTTCTCAAGTTGTATTTCTCCTAGACTTTTTGTGATTGAATGTGGAAAAGTCTATTTCCTTGTTCATTTTTTTGTTATATTAACAAAAATAATTGATAATGATCAGTGGGGTGCATATCTCACAATAAAATAAAATTCAAAGTTCACCCTCAATTTTTGCTAGAGTTTCTATTCGTAAATTCGTAATGCAAATCCTTATATGATATCCTGGAAAAAATCCGAATTGCTTACTCAACTGATTGTTTGCTTTTATAAAATAAACTAGAACGTTTACGGAATGATAAACATGATCACGGAGATATAATGGAAATATTCTGGAGTGGCATTTTTTACAGGGCCTTCTTAAAAGAATTGCATACTTCACAAAAATTTTCCAAGTTCATTCTATTCGTGCTACTCTTTTTTTTAACGTAAGGAAACAACAAAATTAAACCGGTACAACGTCAATGTACATTTTTGGTCGAATTTTTTATAATTTTTTTTTTGATATATACAGTTGTATAAATATTGTTATCATTGATCATGATCATTGATAATAAACTGATAATCATCATTGATAATTATTAATCAATTTTATTTCTTATTTATTATTATTATCAGTTTATTATCAATGATCATGATCATTGATCATTGATCATTCCCCCGAATAAATTCTTTTGGTACAAATGTTGTATTTATAAAGAAAAAAAAAGATATAAATATGTATTCATTTTTGAATGAATATTTTTTTTTTTTAGATTAGTATTAGTAATTGCCCAAAGATCCAGGAATTACACAAATTTCCCCGCTAGAGGAAATTTCGTGTGATTTCGGATTTTATTTTCGGGTAATTACTGTGTAATTCCTCGATTCAGTGTCACCAATCAGGATAATTCAAAAAACAAAAAATATAAATATTCAAAAAATCCATACTAATTCCACACCAATATTAAATATTTTTTAAAAAAAATTATGTCGTCAGTATTCATTTCAAATTGTTTCATTAAATCAGTTGTTATAACTATCAATAGTATATCTGGTACTGCGATATACAGGACAGAAATAGGCGGTTTTAGAGGATTATTGTTTAAAGGATTTTTTAATAGTAATAAAGATGAAAATATTGTCAACTTTAACAAAAAAACTCTGCGCTTGAAGATAACACTGAATACGTAATTAAAATAATATTAATATCTTTTTGAAATTTTTGTTTTTATATTAACTAAATGTTTTTGAAATTTAGCTACACTTAATACAAACGATCATTGTTAATGACAATGAGGATTTAACCGAAGAAGACTTGCCAATGAATCAAAGCCAACTTTTGATATTTTCTGGTGTAGTGCAAAATAATTCTTACGTTGAAGACAACACAAGAGACCATTTCATTATCAAACGAAAAATTTATAATCCAACTACTAAAAATTCTATTGATTCCAATATATATGTTTCTTATGAATATAATAACAGGTACACGGCATTAAAAAAAAATTTAATTAAATGTGTTTTTTCAATTGTAGGTAAAATGAGAATTAGTAGGTCCAATGCGTTACATTTAGAAGCTACAGAAATAGAATGGAATTTTCCACAATCAGAACAAAAAACTAACAATAATGAACGAAAATATGATGACATAGATGATGAGTTGGAAAAAATTGAAAATAAATTCAAAACAAATAATAAAAGAAAAAAAAGTTCAAACACTCCTACATCACCTATCAAAACACCTTCATCCACTTCATCTTCATCTACCAACAAAACACCTACTTCTAGTACTTCATATATTGATTTAGCAAAAGAATTCCAAGATGAAAATGATGAGCATAAAAAATAAATTATTTTACCTTTTTTTTTTATATTTATTTTTAAATTATAAACATTAATTTATTATAGAACAATATTAGGAAGAAAATATTATATATTTATTTAAATTTTATATGCTGTACTTTTAACTCGCATAAATATAATAAAAAAAAACACACACACACATATATATATATAAGATAAATGTTTTAACATTTGTGAATTTTAAAATATTAAATTATAATAATCATGTCTAAACATAACTTTCAACATTTTCAATTTTCAAATTATGCACCAGAAGATATTGAAAACTCTAACAATTCTAAAAAACCTAAACTTGATTATTCTTTTTTTGACTCATATGTTCAATGTAATGAAATCAATCAGAATCTTTCAAATGCTCCCAGTCTTAATAACTATTTTATAAATGATTCAAATAATATTAATTATCAAAATTCTAATATTTTCCCTCCTTGGACTCCTTCTTCAAATCTCCAAAATCTCTTAAATGAATTTGCAACTAAAATACTATTTGAATATCCAAATGTGCCTTGTGCTTACTGTTCAATGCTAATGATGAATTCCTCTATCAAATGGTTGCCATATAATCCAGATGAATTATATACATTGATTATAGCTTTTCCTAATACATCTTTACACACACGTATAAACAATAAAAATATAACACAAGTGGCTGTTTGTAATGGATGTAAAAATCCAAAAACTCGTAGACTTGCACCTTTGTTAAGAAAAATACCTGAACAGATCAACAATGTTCCTATTCTGCATCGAAGATATCTTTCACCAGTTCACATGAACTGTTCATTGGGGCGTGCTTCTGGATCAAATCCTTACACTAATTATAGACATTTGGAGGGTGTAATTGGAATAACACATAATTACTATACTTTGGAACTCTACTCTGGAGCAATTGGTGCTTTCCTTAATGTAAATGAGCCCCAAAGATGGTTTCATGATTCTTTAGTCCCTGCATCAGAATGGTTAAAAAACAACAATCCTCTTATAAAAAAATATGCATCTGACATTACTATTTCAAAAGCTTCACCTGTAGACCCTATACCTTTACAACTGCCATTAGCACGTCAAACAATTGAGAGTAATGATAATATTTTTAATCTTTACCATAGCAGGCTTTCAGATAAAACCCCTTGTACACCTGATTTGGTTGTTCCAAATGATTCTTTTCCTATAGAGGTACATGAAGAAGATGCAAATTATAATAGATTAATAGCAGGTTCAATTATATCTAACAATCATAGGCTACCATTATTATTTGGAAATCCTGATTTAGAAGCCCTGATGTTTCCTGACCTTTTTCCTAATGGAATAGGACATTATGAATATGTTAAAAATGTTCTAAATTTTCAGCCTTCAGTAGACAGTTATGGAAAATATATAAAAATACGGATGCTTTGCCCTGATCCACGGTTTCGCTTACATTGGTATTGGCCACATTGGTCATATTTACAACTTGAAAAAAGGAGAAATTTTCAAAATCAACATCGTATATTATCTACCCGAAATGTAAATCGTGAGCATCACCCAACACGAGCTGATTTAATTACTCAAAGTTCATATAATAATTCAAAGGTTTTAGATGAAACAAAAACTACAACATTACCTTCAAGTCTAAGAACTGCATCTCCTTTCTTTAAAAAAAAACAGCTTCAGGTCAATACAATGATAAGTGCTTATGGTTTACCTCAAATATTTTATACTTTGACAATGGCAGAGGGTAAATGGTCTCATCTACATGAAATATTGAGCTCTACTGATAATGGCGATACTTTACCAAGTAATCGTCCATTACATACATACTTGCATTATCGGAATAGACTGACAAATATACGAAACAAATTGTGGAAAAATCCTAAATTGGTGAACTGGGGTAAATGGAAACATTATTTTGAAAGAGATGAATTCCAGAATCGTGGCACAATCCATACACATGGCTTTGCCTACACAGAAAAAAAAACAAATGAATTGATTTCCTTAAATGTGATACGTGCTGATTTACCTGATCCTGTTACAGAAAAAATGTTATATGATTTAGTTGTGAAGTTTCAAGTACACCATTGTGATCAAAGGTGTGGTGGACAAGGCCCCAATGGAGAACAATGTTCTAAAGGGTTCCCTCAGCCACTGTCTAAAGAAACATATTGCTCACCTGATTCATATCTACCGTCGGACAAAAGAGGAAGATAGGATGATTGTTCCTTATCATCCAGAAACTTTATTAATATGGAATGGGCATATTAACTTTCAATTTATTACTTCCACAGGTTTTGCAAGGTACATCACAAAATATGTTACAAAATCTGAACCTTCTGAGCTGTTTGATATCAATGAAACTGATGAATACCGTAAACATATTGTTGCAAGGAGATTAGGTGCAATGGAATTAATGATACTCTTGCTTCAATATCCAATAACAAGATGCTCTGTTTCAGTACATTATTTTCCTTCTGCACCTTCAGAATATTGCTTAAGATCTGTAAAATCAGTACACTTACTTAATAATAGGTCAATTGGTGACAATGATGGTGAAAATGAAAATGAAGATGAGGAAGATGAGCAAACTCCATGCTGGGATGATGCAATAGACAAATATTTTGATAGACCAGAACATGAAATTTTTGAAAATCTTACATACCCTGATTATTTCCAAAATTACACAATTAGATCTAATGTTCCTGGTCCAAGATCTAAGTTATTTTATACTAAAGACAGAAAAAATAGAATTGTAGCCCAAAGGAAATCTCCTATTCTTCTACGCTTCACTGTTTACAAGGTAGAAGATGGTGAACCATTTTTTTTTCAATATCTTATAATGAAAATTCCTACACGTTCTGAAGAAGATTTAATAGGAAATTACACCACATACAGAGAAAGATTCCAATCTCTATTTCCCTTAAGATATGACCAAGCAGTCAACTCACTTAAAAAAAGTTATTTAGATCAAAAAAACTTTATATCTAAATCATATAAATTAATTTTAAAATCAATTTTGCCTGAACTTAAAAATCAAAGTCTATCTGATCTTATTTTTAATCAATTATTATCATTAGAGAGATACCACATACCTCTCCATGCAAAATCTTCATTGTCACTCCAAAATGAACAATACAACATATATAGCATTCTGTGTAATTCGTGGGGTAGACCATTTGATGGAAAATATCCATATTTTTTTTTGACAGGTTCAGCTGGAACTGGCAAAACTTTTATGACAAAGCAAGTAATAAATTTTCTTGAAACAAAAAAAAAGAAATACCTTTTAATAGCCCCCACAGGTGTAGCTGCCCAAAATATTGGAGGGAGGACAATACATTCATCCTTAAAAATAAGACTTTGCAAAGGAGGGGGGTATGAGACATTGATTTTTTCTAATCCTACAGATAAAATAGAATTAAAAATGGTAGATAGTGATTTATTTACATTTATTAGCAATCTCTTTGCTAGAGTCCACAATAACAATTTTATATTTGGAGAAATACCTACACTTATTGTTGGAGATTTGGCTCAACTTCCCCCTGTACACCCTTCTTATGTTTTTAGATCACCAGTTTGGAAAAGATTCTTCCCTCTTTTTTTAACAACACCACAAAAACAAATAAATGATCTTGAGTTTTATAAAATTCTTCAGGAAATAAGAACAGGAAATATATCAGTAAGAACTAAAGAAATCATTCAATCAAAAATTGATGAGCATAAAAGTCTCTGTAATTTTTACAACACCACTCATGTAGTTGGCACTCGACAAGCAGCTGAAAATCTTAACACAATCTTTTTTGATTATCTACCTTTTGATGAAACATGCAATAATCCAATTATTTCAGAATCTGTTGATACTATGGATTTTGTAACACTGAATAAAGAAGATTCAATTAATCAATTCAAAAATTTAACAAACCTACCTCATAAATTATATCTACAGGAAGGTGCATGTGTAATGTTCCTTAATAATAAATTGTTTGATGAAAATATATGCAATGGTACTATTGGAATTGTTACAAAAATTCATGATGATAATAATGTTGAAGTGATGTTTCCTACTTTAACAAGTATAAATAAGATTATAGTTCAAAAAGAAACCAGTCATTTTGAAATTGATGGCAAGAGAGCATCTAGGCAGCAATTCCCTCTTCAAAATGCATTCGCCTTAACTGTTCATAAAACACAAGGCCTAACTTTACCACATGTAACATTAAATGTTGATGAAAACATGTTTGCTGAAGGTCAAATATATGTTGCAATGAGTCGAGCACCTTCTTTAGAAAAACTACACATTTTAGGGTTTGACTATTCACAATTAAAGATTTCTAAAGCAGCTTTAGAAGAATATAAGAGATTAGAAAAGATCAATACTGATGGATTACAAAATTTAAGAATACACTAATTAAATTATGATCTTTTTTTATTCTACCTAATTTATCATTATTACTAAGTTTAACTAATAAAAATATATAAATCATTTACATTAATTTAACACATATTCTTATTTAGTTCTTATATTATCTGTTATAAAAAGCTCACACAAATACTCAGTTAAATCTTGTTTTACATATTGGTCTCTTTTGGGATTAACAATTTATTTCACTGTAAAATTTTTATCTGTTATTTTGAAAGAATTCAATTGCGGAAAAAAGATTTAATATATACAGTCCCCGGCGAAAAGAATGGCGGTGGGAATGCTGTCTTCTTTTTTGCTGTAGCTTCACCATTTTTCCAGTTTAGATCATAATTTATATTACCAAATCAAGTAATGAAGTGCTATTTTTTAAAAAAATGTGTAAACAATGACGTTTAATATTGTTTACATCTTGTTTTTACATTTCAAAATGGCACCAACCCTCTTGAAGTACAACGAAACTCTGTTAAGTCACTCTGGCAACAAAACATTCGCAATCCGAAGGAAATTTCTCAACGATTGGGTATTCCTCTACGCTCTTGTGAGCGGTACGTCAGTTTATTGTGTAAAACCGGAAAAATTCCTGTAGGTCACTCTTCTGGTCGTCCAAGAAAATTGACCTCTGAAAAACGCCGCCATATCGGAAAAATTCTGAAACACAATCATTTCACTACGGCGGGTGAACTTAAAGCTAAATTGAAAGAAAATGATCCTGAACTTGAGATCAGTGAACGCACTATACGTCGTGAGCTTAAAAACCTCGGTTTCATTTCTGTTCTTCCAAGAAAGGTTCCTCTTTTAACCCAACAAGCAAAAAATAATCGTTTGACTTGGGCACGTAAACACGCACGATACTGATGAAATAACAATCCAGATGTTTCGAAATACCCTTCTTTCATGGTCTCGCAATGCAAAACCTGTTGCATCCATGGTAAAGCATCCATATAAAGTTCATTTTTGGGCAGCGATCAGCGCCAAGGGAAAAATTGAAATGCATTTATTTACTGAAAACCTGGATCGCCATTTATATTGAAAAATTCTGAATGGACATTTATATGATAATGCGGATGCATTGCATGATCATAACTGGGTTTTCCAACAGGATAATGACCCGAAACACACTTCATGTGATGTTCGAGACTGTCTTCCGAAACGAGTTCTCCCTTGGCCTTCATACAGCCCAGACATGAATCCTATCGAAAATGTATGGGCTTTTTTGAAGAAAAAGGTAGAGAGAAAGGTTAAGGATATGGTGGCAAAAAAGAAAAAAATCTCGCAAGAGAATTTTCTTGGTATAATTAGGCAGGAATGGGACGATCTTGATAATGATGTGTTACTTCGATGCATCAATAGCATGCGAGACCGGATTAAAGCGTGTATCGATGCAGAAGGAGGCCACACAGAATATTAATTTAATAAGAAAAAATGTAACGTTAGTGTTTGTTTTTGTATATACAAAAAAAAATTTTTTGATTAATAATAAATTATATGCATAATCTCAAAAAACCTGTCCGCCATTCTTTTCGCCGGGGACTGTATATATATAATTTGTAGTATATAAAGATAACATTTTATCATTCTGCAAGGTATGTAAAAACTTAAACAACAATTTCATTCGATCACTTCTCAAATTCGTTAATTGGGGTTTTTTGGATACTTTATCATACTATTGTACACTTCCAGTAAGTTTTTTAATAATTATTTGGAAAAGTAAAATGTTTCCTAAATATTTCAAACATTTATAAACAATGATGATAATGATGATAGTGGTATAGTAGTGATTGTGTATTGGTTATTTCTTTCCTGTGAATTATTTGTGAAAAAATCCTCCGCCAGTGGATTGGTGGCTGATGACATCAGGCAAGTATGCCACGCTAATTCATAATGAATTTCAAAAGATCCTGTTCTTTTTTCTTGATTTTTGGCTAGTTTCCAATCTAAAGTTTGTTTTTTTTCCCCCACTTAGCCCATGGTGGAAATTTTCTTCTTTATGATGATCAAACTGTTTTTAAATAAACAAAAGTTTATATAGCAATTCGGTTTTATAACAGTATTTTTACTGTTATTGTATACATTTGAAGCATGGCTAATTTATGCAGTGTAAGTAATTCACGTAATATGTGAAATCACGAATTAAACTCCATGAAAAAACTCTCAAATTTATTTATATTTTTTTTTTATTTAATTATTTAGTAGAAATTTTTGGGTTTATCCTTTTCTTTAATTTCATTATTGTATATGTTGGATTCATAGATTTAAAGATTCTCTTGGATGAAAATTTGGCAGTGACATAAAACAAGATGTTGCAATGCAACAAGTTTCAATTTAAAATTTTGGCTTCAAATAGAATCATCATCATCATATATAAATAGAATATATATATTTAATTATTTTTAAAATTACATAAATATAAATATTATAAATGAATAACGGTTAAATAGTTTTTTTGTTTTTTGCTGAATTTGATGGAAGGTACTTTTGCAAATATTTAATTTCTGCTTCCAAATCCTATATTAATTGTTATTAATAATATTATCATTTTTGAAGATATATATTTTGCTAAAAGTAATGAAATCCCTGAAATAAACTAACCTTGCAATATTCATCTAATGGCAAATCATTTCTATCATAACCTGTTATTAAAAAGAATTTAATTTATTAATTTTTTTGTTTTATTTCAAAAATAAATGAATAAATAAAATAAAACTTACCAAATGGATTTTCAATTTCAGATCCTAATGTAATTTATTTAAATAATAATATTTAGTATTTAAATTATATTCTTTATAAAGAAAGAAAAGCATGATAACAAATCCCCAACTTACCAATAGCTTCAACACCAAAGAGAATAAAAGCAATCATCATAACAACTGGAATCGTAAGCCAATAAAGTTTTGAAACAAGCGTGAATGGAAGAACCCAAACATAAATGGTTACAGCTTGTTTCCTAATAAAATAAGAGAGAGTGAGAAAAAAAACTTCTTAATATTTTAACAATAAATAATAAATAATTCTCTATCATTACTATAATGCTTACAAGTGAATTCTATAAGCAAATGGGATTGGAGTATTGCCAATTCTTTCTAAACTACCTAAAACATCAATTAAAGTGTTTAAAGAACCAGATATAGCACCAAATGCAGCTCCAGTAATTCTTGGATTGTCTGGATCTTTATTATCAAGAACTTGTCTATCATAATATGCACCCAAATGAAAAACTATTTCCAAGGGTAAACTCATGCTTGCATCCAATTGAGAATCATCCTTAAGTCTACCATTGTTGAAATAAATGGAAGTTTGACTCCATGAACCTGCCAATGAACGAATTGCTGCTTTTGTATGTGGTAAACCATGATGATTATTATCATTATGGACAACAATTGTTGGTGCTTCACTTGGTGGTAAGTCACGATTACTAGGATGATTAGGGTCATCTCTATGATCTTCACTACCTCCACCCCCCAAATCTGTATTCTCTTGTCCTGCATTTCCATCAAATACTGCCAATTGAAATCCATCAGGAAGAAGATCTTCTAAATCAAACCATTCTGTACCAAATTCCAATCTCAAATGATGCTTGACTGCCACAGCAAATGCTAATAGCATCTTGATAATAGCAACCTTTTCATTATGATCCTGAGGATTTTTGAATTCTCTAATACCAACCCAAGTAAGACGAGAAACATTACGAATTTGAGTACTAATTAAAATTCAAAGATTTCATCATCATCATCATCATTATAAAATCATAAATTAAATTTAAAAAAGTAAATTAAGAAATACCATAGAGCTCCAAAAAGTTTTCTTCCTTCATAATACCTATCATAAGCGTTATTTGTACGAAAAGCTAATAAAAGACCAACAACAACGGCAACAGACCCAACTAAAACACAATTAGATTTTATCCTTATTTAGTAATTTCAAAAAATCAAACAAATAATAATAGTATATGATAATAATAATAATCCTCATACTTATGCTATCAGGTAGCGTGATATTTTTTTTATCAAAAACAATATACAAAACAGTTACAACAGTAGAAATAACCGTTGAAAAGAAAACAATTGGTATAATTGCAACGATAACCTATAGCATTAATAAATAAACAAACAATTAATTAATTATCAATAATAATAATAATAATGGAATACATCACTTACAGATCCTCTCATATGAAAGATATCAGGACGTCCCCATCCTCGATGTTTAGATATTTTTTTTGAAAGTGATTGATTTTCTTCATAAGGATTTTTTATTTGAGAATTAGCAGACATCTTTAATTATTATTACTGTTATTATGGATTTTAAAATGGTCTCGTTGCTATCTAAATTTTAAAAAACAAAATTGAAGAAAGAACTAAAGATTTCTTAAATAATATAAATACAAATAACTTTAAAAAAAGAATATTAGAATTCTATTGGATGATAATTCGAATGAAATTATTATGGCGTAAAAAAAGATATTTATTCGTTGATGTTATTGTCGCGGTTACACTCGCTTCCTTTTCGAAGTCATTTACTACATCCTTTACGATTAAATTTTTTTTAACAAGTTAATTTACTTGTTTATAATAATTACAATAAAGATATGTAAATAGAAACACAGCCGATAAATAATGAAATTATGATTGTTTTTATCAATCCAATCAAAAAATTAACGTTACATTACTCGATTTAGTTAGCATTTCTTATACAAGTAATCTGGACATCACGGGGCAGGATCAGTAACATATTAATATAGTGAATGTACTACATTTTGTTTTTGTTACAACAAAATGTTGCAATTATTTCCTTGTTACAACTTTTGTCCAGCATGGCATGCCGTAAACATAATTAATGAGAGTGTTATCATACGGGCTGAAATTGGACATTTACAAGTAATAAAAATGTGATATTTCAAATTTTGTGTGACAAAATTGTATTGTTTTTAACCAATAAGCAACGTTTACTATGTTTTTCCAATCCTATGTGAGGAGGATCTAATACGAATAAAAAAAAGTAATAAGATTTTTTTTACAAACAAAATTTGTTTCCATTTACTATTTTATGAATGAAATAATTAACAATTGGAAGAGTTTTTTAGTTCGTTGATATTAATTATACACATTGGGCAACTAAATTTAAAGGTAAATTAATAATTTAATGCTGAAATTTATTATATATACTACTTTTTAATAATTAATTTCCGCTTTTTACTCTTTGTTGAATTACTATGTAATTGCAAACTATCAAAAAAACGGACGAGAGTTTTAAATAAAGTAGTATATTTTCTAACGTGAAATGAGTATTTCGATGATATAGTATTTAATTATGAGCAACATAAACAAAACAGGACAAGCAAACAAATAACTAGATCATTTGGGATTTTATAGATAACTTTAATATTTGCATTTAATTAGCATTAAAATTGATTAAATAGATTTTAGTTCATAAAAAAAAATTGGGATCATTTCTTCAAACGTGATGCACACATGGCTTTGTCTACACGGAAAAAAGGACAGGAAAGTTGATCTCATTTAACGTGTCACATGCGGATGTTCTTGGCCACGTCATGGAAAAAACATTGTACAATTTGGTCATGAAGTGCCAGTTTTATGAATGAAATTATTAACAATCTTAATTAAATTTACATCGCGTTGATTTGCGTTTATCAGTTATACTCTATTGTACTACTACTTTTAATTTGAGTTGTACAACTTTAAATATTGATTAACATCACGTTGTTAAACGAAATTAGTTTTACAACGCAAATTATAGTAGTAAGTTTAAAGTTTAATATACTTTTCTTTTAAAAAAATTTTGAACTTATTTAAAACCTTTTTTAAAACTTTTTTTCTATTCATTTCAAACTAAAATTCTCCTTTAATATATAATTTACTGTATAATGAAACAAAATCAAGGAAATCGTGGAAATTGCGGAAGTCGCGGAAGTCGTGGAGGTCATGGAATTCATGGAAGTCGCGAAAGTCATGAAGTTATAGCAGTTGGTAGAGATCGTAGTAAAAGTCATGAAAATATTGAAGATACCGATTCTGTTCTAGGTGACCGCGCTTCATTTTTCTCAGAAATAATTTTACAAGGTCAATGTGAAAAAGAATATTAAAAAAATGAAGAGACAAATAAAAAAACATTTAGATACTGCTTTACATGAAGTAAATGATAATTCAAATAAATTTTCAGGTAATTTTTTTTAATATTTTAATTTATAAAAATTTATATGTAAACTTTTTTAATCTTTATTTGTCAGAAAATAATCAAGAGATTCATAACGAAAAGGTAAAGAAAATCTATAATTTTTTACTTAACTGGCTGGCTTATAAGGAATCTTGTATGCGTTGCTGGAGTGATTTTTTCTTCGGTTTGATCGAAGAAATTATAAATGTGCACCTTTAATTTTTTTTTTCTGATGTCTTTTATTGGATGGAGACTAGTGTTGGTTTCCAAAATTAGAGAGTTTCGCAACCGTGCGAAAGTCGAAACTAGTTTTGATTTTTGACTATTGACTTTTGATTTAGTTTTGACATATAACTTTTGATTTTATTTTTTGACTTTCGCTTTTCAAAATAGTTTTGGCAACCAATATTAGCTAATAACCAACCAACCAACTAATGATTAGGCGACATTTCTACAATTTTAGTTTTTCATTTTTCAATTGGCCCGGAAGAATAATACAGATCATTCCCGTTTAAAGTTGGCACCTGTAATGTAAAATTATGGTATTACGGTGTTGCAACTGCAAATTACGGTTGTGTTGTAATGTTGTGTTGCAATGTTGTAATATTTGTTAAAAATATTTATGTGATGTTACATTCAAATAAAAGGTAGACCACGATCCTTACTTTTCTAGTTATATCAATCTTTTTTTCCCACGAGTATGTTTTATGCATTTTAAAAACCATTTCTTTTTCATTTTTTTTCTTATAATAATTAAAGATGAATTTGCTACTGATAATAAAAATAAAATTGGTCCAAAATATAATAATATTTTACACGTGGTAACCGTCTTGGTGATTGACATTACCAAATTACGTGCAAGCTATGTTTGTCATTTTTTAAAGATGCCAGACCGTATATTTTACGTTCTCATATAGTTTCTCAATGTTCAAAGGTATTTGAAACCATCAAAAATGAAGTAAATGAATTGATATAATGAATAGATAAAACAATTCAATTTTTTATGTTTGTCTTGTTCTAATAATTACATTTTAATAAATATAATAATAATAATGTTTTTAAAAATGAGACAATATAAATAGAAAATCGGGTCTAGCTGCATCGTGATTACGTTGCAACTCTATGTATAGTTTTTATGTAATAGTAATATCCAAAGTTGCAGGTATGTTGCAATATTACAGTTTTGTTGCAATAAAAGAATTGTAATGATTATCGAAAGTTCCAAATTATGTAAACATGTGTGTCCCGGATGAATATAGAATTATTATATCGTTGTATGTATATTGCAATGATGCAAGAACAATAATTATCATGGGAAATTTACAAATGTTATTAAACTACTTGTTTTTTCCGTATATTTTCTTTCAAATAAAAAAATGCCTCCTCTTACAAATTAAAATTATTGTTTTTATTAATCAAATTGTCTTTACTCAGTATTGTTTTTTGAAAATGATTTTTAGCAATTGTATACAATCAGGATAGAAAATAATTTTATTTTCTCCTACCTCAGGTCTCAATGACTATTGAAAAATTGGGTTCCTTAAAAGCTCCATTTCTGTATTGGTGCTTCATGTGGAACCTAAACCTAAGATCCGAAGCGTTTCGGCTGAGAAGACAAAAGCTCCCGAGTATGTCTTTCATTTGATATGTTTCGAGGGCTTCACAAATACGGAGAGCGATCAGGTTGATTCATTGCATTGATTCGATTTAAACCCTATAAATAATTTGATTTGACTTGGCTCGAATTTAATTCAAATATATACCATATGAAATAATTTGAATTCTGCATAATTTTAAAAGAGTTGTCTTTGGAAACGTTGTGCGTGAAGTTTAAATTTTGGGGTGGGTGTTCGGATACAAAATTCTGATTGGCTAATTTGAATTTCATGCGCGTGAATTCCAAAAGTCATGGATCCATCTAAACTCGACAAGTCGGACATTTATTTATATTATAAAGTACTTTAAACAATTGATTGCTGCGTCCGGCTTATCGAGTTTAGATGTACAGTCAAAGCTCGTTATAGTGGACACTCGGTTCCGGGCATTTTTGTCCACTATAACGAATTTCCACTATAACGAAAAATCTCTTTATAGTGGACTT